TATATATATATATATAAACATATGTTTTATCACAAGGTGTCGACGTTCTCTTTGCTGGAATTGCGACGCATTTAATACCATCGAAAAAACTCACGGATTTGAAACGCGATTTGTTAACGTTGCGTGAAGTGGACATTAAGTCCGTTTTAAAAGTTTTAAACAAGCATCAACCGAAATTAAATCATAAATTCAGCTTGGCACCTCATATGTCACAGATAGAAAATTGTTTTTCTGCTCCAACCGTTGAAGAGATAATTGAAAGGTAAGCTAAAGTTATTAAAAAGTTAAATTAATATTTTTTCACTTGTAATACAGTAAAAGATAATATAATTTGTTTTTTATATTAAGGCTGAAGAAAGATAATTCGGACTGGGCACAAAAGAATATAGAAATATTGCTTAAAATGTCTCCATCTTCTCTCAAAATCACCAAAAAAGCGATTGATGAAGGAAAAGAAAAATCTTTAGCAGATTGTTTAAAGATCGAATATAGATTGGCCTGTACCGCTTTATCCAGAGATGGTGATTTCTATGAAGGTAATAAAATGAAATTTTAGGTGCATCTTCCAAGTTGTATTCTTGGATCAATATTGTAATTCTAGGTGTCAGAGCTCTTCTAATTGACAAAGATCAGAAACCAATATGGAAGCCATCATGTTTGGCCGATGTAACGAATGAATATGTAAATAAACGATTCGCGGCATTTCCTGCAGAGAAGGAATTGCAGTTGTCAACCAGCAAATTATAAAAATTAAGAGATATTTTTTTATTTGTACTGTGGATATATATAAATATATATACATATTGTTATAGAATTGTTATAGGTTTTTACTTTATTTGTAATCCTGATTTTATACAAATTGAGATCTATAATAAATCATTGTTAATTTTTTTCTTTTCTACGCTGTATTTCTACAAATGTAAAATTAACTTTATCTATTCAATTTATTTTTTATTTTTTCTAATTTTAAGAGTTTAATTGAGATTAAAATTAAGCTTAAAGTGGTTAATCTCATATATTTTTTTTATTTTTGTATTAAAGAATTTAATTTAGAAACTTGCTGGACTATAAATACCAATCTCACTCTCACACAAAAAAAATTAGAGGAGCACTTTAAAACCGCAAATTTATTGATTTTAAGAAACTAATATCTCGATTTCCAGGAATCGCAGAATATTTTTTTCTTGACGTGTTTTAGCCTCTACTTTCAAATGGCTTAAGTAAAATTTTCTCGTTAAACTGTTTTTTTGAAAAAATGGAGTGTAGAGTCTTGAATGTCATGATATTGCAGCCTTCCACGAGCAAATCAACAACGAGGTGAAAAACGTCACCAAATCAGTTTTAAAGCTGAGAATTTTTTCTTTAAAATAATGAAAAGAAAATTGTTCCAGCTTTTCTAGGAGCTGATCGAGTTATACGTTCCAAAGTGGATCCTATATTTTGCAAGATTTTAGTTAAGTTCCGCCGGCATTTGCGTCCGAGGCACCACGAGGATGTTCCTCTTGGTCGGAGTTTGCACATCATGTGTGTGTGTGTGTGTGTGTGTGTGTGTGT